GGCTTTTTCGATGCGGTGCAATTTCCATATAGGAGTAGGTTTTTCGCTATTACTATGAACGTGATAAAAACCAATTAATCAAGATAATGGCCATAGTTATGATAATCAGGGGAGGCTCCGGCGATTATGCTAAAAATTCTCATTACGGTCCATAGCACAGAGGAGGTTTGAAAACATTGCCAAACTGTCGATTTTCAATATCAAACGACAAAGAGAATGAAATATGAGTTTAATATCAAAGGTTAAAAAGAGAACGTTGAGTTCTGATAAAAGGTCAATAACGACTCAGTTTTATGGAATAACCTTCCTACATCAATTAGGAATAGTAAGACAATTAACCAATTTAAACGACTATATTGGCAAATTCTTCTTTAAAAAAAAAAAAAATCGAAAAACTTATAATGTCAATGTTCATGCAATGTTTCCTCCTTCTTTACTCCATTTTGTTATCTTTCCTTTTTTGTGATCTTGATTTTTATGTAAATTATTTACCAAAGATATTGTTATTTTGTATATTGTTTGAGGATAAATGTTTTTAACAAGCCATTAGTGTCCTCCCGGTTCCTCTTGACGTGGAGAAAAAATGAAATGAAATGAAAAATTTGAGCTTTCTCATTCATTGTATGTCAGTTTGGGAGAATGTCATCAGAAATGCGTTGCAAATTGGCGTGCTCTTCGATTCCCTTTTTATAAAAAATGTATTTTGTACCACACTGACAAGCCACGTGTACGTGTAGTCCCATTTACCAGTTTCTGCGTGCGGCGCATGCGACTTTCAGTAATATTGAGTCAACCTCTTTTCATTAGGGACTTTTAGATTCTGCACGACGAGAACGTGGATTGTCCTTTTAAGGCAATGTGACGTCCTTTAAGGCACTGGCAGTGACGTCACGTTGCCTTAAAATGGCAGTCCGCGTTCTCGTCGTGCAGAATCTTAAATTCCCTATTTTGATGAATCTAAAACCTCATGTTACACACCAATACCTCTGCACCCTATGATCAGCTTTTCCATTATATAACTTCTCGTAAGTTGTTCATACTTCGGTTGCATTATCCAGTAAATGGATATTTGAAACTTTGAATTTCCTAAACTGCGTGTAATTGGGTCTTTACAGACCTGTATCAATCAGATATGATTATTTACGTCTGTGGACCGAACATTCGAAAGACGTGACACAGTTTCGAACCTGCGTCCTCGGCTGAATCAGTTTCTAACTTCCATTGTTAGCTGGATTACAGGCGCGCGCCACAATGCCACGTGGCAGTGTAAGTGCGGTTATAATGTCAAAGTCTGCTAGTGAGTCTTCAATGTGTAGAAAACAATTATTATTATGGGATTAATAGGCCTACTGTGCTGACAATATACTGCCGTGTGTTAAGAGTTCTACATTCGTTACCCTATATACAACTTTGTGTACGCCCATTTTTCGATGCTTTCAATAATCAGTTGTATTTTCCACTCTTTCAAATTAAACAATGTAATCATTTGAAACAGTTGGAACAAAATTTAAGAAAAGGGCAAGATTTGCAAGTTTGTACACGACACAATAGTACCTCAGGAATTGTCTAGCGATTTTTTCGATTTTATGCTCATGTACAATTTGGACTTGACAGCTATAAATAATACGTCAAAAGATAAAATCCAACTGCTACGTATTTTTTAATTGTTTGTTGTTTATTTGTAACCAAATACGTAGCTAATGGCAATACACATACATGATCATGTAGCGTCTAATCAATTGTGCCTAGGATTAATGTTTACCCTAAGCTTAACACCGCGCCCGATTTTTCAATGATCCCTCAGAAGCACCACCCCGCCCTTTGGTGAATGTGCAACCTGTGTATACTTATTATTTGAATATCAATATCTCAAATGAAGTTCGTTTAAAGTCCTACTGCACTACTTATAACTACTTGCGCCCTCTATATAGCAAACAATGCCTACTCGGTGACCATTGGTCCCCCATGGTCCCCTTTTTCTTCTGATAATTGAGAGCTGATTTGATGAGATAACCACCTGTCAGTGACCAGGCAGGGAGGTCTAATCCTTCCTGGCCAAACTAGTGCAGAGGGGCTTTAAAAGATCTTTTCGACTCTGTTGTAGTTGATTTTGTTGTATTTGTTGGACTATATAAGATTTTCGTCCAAATTTTGACAATGGAATAGCTTCACATCTAACTTGGATATGGATGCTATTCATACCAGACTACAGGATTAGCATGAGCAGGGGGTGGTGTTTTTTGATTTTACAATATAAGATAAGGTGAAAAAAGGCGAGATAGAGAGAGAGAGAGAGGGGGGGAGGGAGAAAGAGAGAGAGAGAGAGAGAGAGAGTATGGGGAAAATGAGACTGTGAGTAGCAAAGAGAAACATAGGAAGGGTGAGTGGAGAGAGACAGAGACACGAGCTAGAGAGAGAAAGGGGGAGAGGGAAGGGGAGGGGAGAGAAAGAGGGGGTGGAGGGTGGAGGGAGGAAGCACTGGGAGAAAGAGCTACGGGTATCAAGCACAAAACCAGTAGACTGTTATATACCTATAAATGCACTGTAATTTAACAACTAAATTATTCTTAACAAAATAATTTGTCCCTATTTACGTTTCTTGATAATGTGACATATAATGAAGGCTTACACATACAAAATATTCAACTAAGCCCCAGTACAATCAGTCCGACTTTAATTCTTGAGCTACGAAAAACACAACAAACTATCAAATTTACAAGGGATATGAATAATTCAGTTGTTAAGTGTATATACATGAAGGGTATACCATTGCTTTTCTTCAACGCTTGTAACCATCGTTATACGCGTATGATTAATGCAAGCGTTGTGCCAAACTATATAGCAACCAACCTATACGGCTGTACAGCTTGCTTTTTGGCGTGACGTTGCCATGGTAACTCATGATGGCTGGCGATATTTTCATGATCAAAGTAAAGCGACATATCATCAGAGTGTTTCGAAATTTCATAAGGCTGAAAGCAACACTGTCGTCTGTGTGCAAATTTATTTTACGATTCCATTATCATTAAAATGAAATGAAGTCATCTCATTCTCCTTCGTCCCCTTCTTCTTCTTCTTTTACCTTTTCTCTTTTTCTTCTTCTTTCATTTTCATCTTTCCTCTTCTCCTTCTCCTTTTTTTGTTCTTCGTCCTTTTCCTTTTCCTGCTCTTATTTTTATTATCACTTATTACTATTATTATCATGACTATTATTATTGTTATTATCATATTCATGACTATCATTATTGTTATTATCATAATCATTATTATTATTTTAAAAGATTCTCGTACTTTTCTTTTTCCTGCTCTTATTTTCATTATCATTTATTACTATTATCATCATGACTATTATTATTGTTCTTATCATAATCATTATTATTATCATTATTATTATTATCATTATTATCATTATCATCATTATCATTGTTATCATTTTCATCATCATTAACATCATAATCATTATTATTATCATCATCATTAGAATCATCATCATTATCATCACAATGTTTTTCTTTGACGTATACGTTCTAAAAGTTGAAGAAAAAAAAATTATTCTGATTACAAGAACATAGTTGCATTCCGATCTGACTGACATCATAGGTCAGGGGCATGTTTTAAGAGGGTGGAGGGGGTGGGTAGGCAGTTCCCCCTCCCCCGACCATAATTCTAAACCAACTCGGTACCTAATGAAGCGAAACGCTCATTTTATTATCCCGACGCAGCCATTTTATCGCGAAGCATCATCGCCCCTGTCAGAGGTACATGGATAAAACAGTTTGTTAATTGATACAGCGAGAGAGAACAAGTGTGTTACAGAGAAAGAGAGAGAGAGAGAGAGAGAGAGAGAGGGAGAAAGAGAGAGAGAGAAAGAGAGAGAGAGAGAGAGAGAGAAAGAGAGAGAGAGAGAGAGAGAGAGAGAGGGGGGGGGGGGGGGGGGAGAAAAAAAAGAAAAGGGCAAGATTTGCAAGTTTGCACACGACACAAAAGTACTGCAGGAATTGTCTAGCGAGAGAGGGAGAGAGAGGGAGAGAGAAAGACAGACAACACCGTACACCTGCGTAGCTAATCACCTGTTTACACGAAACCACCTGTTTTTTCTGTTTCTCGTAGTGTTTCACATACAAATTTGTGTTAACATGGTTAATGGGCCCGTACACTGTGTAGAAAGAACACCTGTTCATGAAGATCGCCTTTGCTCTCTCTCTCTTCTGAGCGTTCTCTATATGCAGGTTTTCCTTTGTTTTTATGCTTACTTTATCAATGGTACCATCTTAGGTAGATATTGATGTTAGTCATGGAAGTGGTTTAAAAAAAAGTAAATAAAAAATGGAGGATTAGCAGCAGCGGCACTCACAGTGCTGTAATAGTATTATAGTACATGTGGAGGCGCTATTTTTAACGCCACTTTAAGCAAATGCAAAATTATTTGAATCAGGTTTTGGTAAAAAAATTACAATATTTTATTTTTTGGTAAAGTGTCTAGAGTACAGACAGTTTGTAGATTATAAAATGTAATGCAATTTGCGACGGAAAAGCTCGGCTTACAAACAAACATACACAGAATGCTTACAAAAAGACAAAAAACAACAACAACAACAAAACAAGAACGCAAATTTAAAAAAACATAAACAAACAACAGGAATTAAGAACTATTGCCCAGTTGACAAAACATATATGTAACAGAATAAAGGAGAACATGAAGCAGGAAAACAGGAAACGAGAGAGAAAGAGAGAAGGGAAGACAGAGAAGAAGCAAGCGAGGGAAAATAGAGAGAGAGAGAGAGAGAGAGAGAGAGAGAGAGAGAGAGAAATATAGAGAAATAGCACAAAGGAAAAGAACTTTAAGACGCGATCGTCACTATTTTCGAAAAATCAACATTGTTATGTCCGCACATTTCAATAGGTAATGAACAAAGCTATTGAAATTGCCGTAGAATTGCTGGTATCAAAATAACCTAATCGATTAAATTGATGTTTTTTTCTTCTTTGCATTAATGCAGGTTTCGGCTAACACGTGCGTCACATTCCCTAACGACAGTGAGTAACTCATTTATATATTAATTTGATTTGATTTGATTTGAATTTATTTTGAAATATAAAAACACCACCATGTTACCATGTAAACAATGACGTATAAATGCTATGAAAAAATTATGAGGATGGATAAAACAAGAAGGAATTTTTTAAATCATATTACCGTAAACGATTATTCAGACTAATATATTTCTTCTTAATATACATGAATTTTCTTTTCTAATTATATGTGAAAACAGAGATTATATAGGTGACACGCCTTACGTGAATATCATTATCATCATAATTATCAATATCATCATTGTTATTATCGTCATCATTATTATTTTTATCATTTTGATCATGATAACTGTTTTTATTATAATTAGTATAGTAAACAGTAGTCGCCCTATGAAGAGCGAGTTTATTTCATTCTCCAAATAATATAAACAATAACAAGATAATCACAATAATAAACAATGATATAGAAGAAAATTACATTGAAATATCTTTAACATTGTTTTGTTTAATAATTTGTAATACAAAATTGTTTACTTACAGGAAATGAAATATAATCATTATCATTATAGTTATGATTATGATTATGATTATTGTTATTCTTCTTATTATTATCCTTATTATAACTATTATTATCAATGTCATAATTATTATCATTGTTAATTCTATTATTATCACAACCATTATTGTAAGCACGCTATGATCAGTATCACACTATGAACATGACGGACAAAGAAAGACGACAAAATATACAGTTCCTCATTCTACCCTCAACAATTGCTGTGGTAGACAAAGGAACATCCCTTCGCTGCTATTATGTAAAAATGAGTAGAACAGGTGAATATGCATGTGACACCTGTTCTACACATTTTTACATAATAGCAGTGAAGGGTTGTTCCTTTGTCTACTTGAGGAACTGTATATTTTGTCCTCTTTCTTTGTCCGTCATATTCATAGTGTCATGTCCTTCACATGTTCCCCTCTACAGCGAGTTCGTGCAGCAACCTCTTGCTGGAGTGCGCCGACTTCATTGTGACCGAACCACAGATCACCTACGACGCCTTCGAGATGGCCACAAACAACCGAACGCCTTCGACTCACGTCTACGCATCTTGTCGTGTCGGAGAGGTCTGCGGTGGAACGGAGGTGCCTGAGTGTGACATCATTGAGAATGTTCTGACGGAGCTCGAACCCAGTCTCTGTCCTGGAATGTGTTATTACGTCATCATTCCGCATAACCCCTGTGGGAATGGTAAACATCAAATCCTTCATAAAGTGTCTGGATAATTTATTTAAAAAAAAAAAAAAAAAAAAAAAAAAAAAAAAAAAAAAAAAAATCATTTTTGATGATAATGAAGATGATGATGATGATGACTAATGGAAAATCAATCTTGATGTTGAATGTATGGAGCATTGTAAAGCAAGCGCCATGAGCGCACACCGGAGGCGGACATCGGCGCTATACAACTAGCCATCATCGTCATCGTCATCATCATCATCGTCGTCATAACAGTACAGCCCCCCCCCCCCACACACTCAGTGTTATTTTGGGTACACATATGCATGTTCCCTCCTTTTGATTACACCGGTGTGTAAAGTCAATACGGGCCGGATTTTTGTGTACTACGAGCCGGACTTTGGTGCGTGAAAAGTACCCCTTTACCGGGCATTTTGGGAACACGCCTGGTATCCCTGGGGGGGGGGGGGGGCAGTACAGAGGCCTATACAGACATTGTGACACTGCCAATTTAGCCAATTTGAAATTTCTATAAATATAGTGATTACTAACTTTTTAAAAATCGCATAACCTTATGATCTCTTTTCGGTCCGATTTTGTTCAAATTTTCATCAGTCTGCTCCTACGTTTTTTCTTCTTTCTTTTCCACTTTCTTTTAGGCATGTTAGGGTAATTTATTTTTCCTTTAACTCTTAGGTTGCTTTCTCCGCCTCTAAATTCGGTCGCTCGTTTGCTAGATTTGCACTGAGTTTTTGTAATCGTGTTGTTCTTAATTTTTCGCTCACCCCACAGCCCAGTACATCTCGACCGTCTTCATGATGCAGGTACCCGATGGCAACACGAACATCGAGGTGAAACGTGTTCAGAGCTCTTTGACCTCTGACGCCATCGAAGTCAATTCTCAGTGTGACTACGTCGAGAGCGGTAACGACGTGATCGAATCTCAAAGTTGTGATATATTGGTGGATCAGACATGTCCCGGTAAGTTGCTCAATCGGCATTTGCTCAAGACCAGATTTGTTTCTGTTTTTTTTATAAATATTTTGTTATTCTTCAATCATCTCTGTTCTCCTCCCTTACAAGCATCCCCCAAAGATCGCGCGATTCCCTAAAATACACACGTGTTTGCGAGGGTGAGAATAAAAGGCGAGGAATGTCTCCTGTCTAGCGTTGAGGGTGTGTGTTATTCTCAGCTAATTGGGCGCGCTAAACAGAAACAGTCCAGGCAGTGGAGTACATTTGCTCCAGACCTGTATAAAATCATATAATATAATTTTGGTCTGGTTCTTAACAGTGTTTGTCCATTTGCTACTTTCACAAAATGTGAAAATTCTTGTCGAATATTGTTATTATCATGTGCCATTGTATACAAAATGATCTTTAAATAAGCAAGGGGATGTAGGGGTTTAGAGGCCGAACATTTTCTCACTCGATGAAGAAAAATATGTTTCTAGGGAGAAAATGCTCCTATCACTCCCCCCGGCCAAGCGAGCCAAGGAGATCTTGGCCCTATTTTACAAAACTTGTCATCAGTGACAAATGACAATTTTTGTTGTAAGCTACTGAAATCCTTGCTTCTCATTGGTTAACAGCAGATTTGTCACTGATTTTTGTCATTTGTCATTGAAAAAGAGTTTGTGAAATGGGTCCCTGGTGTGATTTTTGACGTACATCCTCAAAAGGTGCCCTTTCCTTACAATATTCGGTCAGCCAAAATTGGTAAAGGAATTTGATATAGGAATAGTGCAGAATCGATACCTGTTCGATGTTCGCGCAGTTTCCAAATGGCCCTCAATGTTCACTGATGATAGAAAGACAATTAAGTTTTGGTCATGGTTCTGACTTTCGAAGGTATTATAACAGGTTCAATCAGTCAAATAATTACCTGTAATATATAGCTCATTTTATTTGATGCCATTAAACAATAAAGTCTAGAATCTGACCCATTTTACACTAACATTATCCCCTCAAATGCGATATCCTCTTATTTACCGCAAGCCAAAGGTAAGGCGTAAACCCCGCATTTGAACACAGGGCGAAACTAAAAAATTAGCCTCGGCCACTGATCACCACGAAAAAGAGATCAGTCGACGGGCTGGGCTTAAGAATTCGTTGATCATGCCACATATAGATAATCGATATTATTAATGTAATTATCATTATTATTATTATCATCATTATTATCATCATTACTACTACTACTGTTGTCATAATCAATTTCATTATTACTATCATCAATACTCAATTTGGAAATTCCTTTAAAAATAAGCACAAGCGCCATTAACTGTTCCAGTATGTTTAAGTTTAATGCAATTTAGTTTGTAACCGTCAGCTACCTGAAATTTATATAATGTTTTCCATTCTGTGTAATGGGTTTATCAACTTGTCAAGCCACATAGGCTTTTACTGATAAACCCTATTTCATTTTCCAATAATTTGTATTTGAATGTTATTACTTTGTTTCGCATAAATAAGTTGATTTTTATATGTATATTGCAAATGTTTATAACCTGTTTTTGTTTTTACTGAATTTGAAATAAAAATGGTACAATCAATCAATCAATCATAATTGTATAATTGTTTAGGCACAAATGTCGAGACTTTTGAGGCCGATAAACCCGTTTCCCTTGAGATCAAGTCCGTATCAGGCGAGAAGACAGTGACCGTTGCCTTCGCTAAATCCTTTGGATACGGAGGTAAGAATGTTTGGTTTGTATTTTATAACTTTTTTTTATTCTTTCCCCTCTTAAACAAATCGCAAGTAAAGTTTAACGTTTCATTCAAAATATCAAATAAGTTTCTCACGTAAAAGAAATCAAATACATTTTTAAATATTAGTACATTTTTATGATTACATGATTCAGAAGAGAATATTTGTAAACAATCTTCACATTTAAATCAAGTCCATTATAATTATTGTTCACATGAGTAACATTTGTTTGAACTAGAGAGACGATGATTTAAACTAATCGTGAGTTAGATATAGGAACTCGTTTATTTTTGTGAATTGTATTTGATACTTTAACAGTGACTTTTGTTAACATGCTCAGATTTCAGTTGAATTTACAGTGACAGACCTCGATCCATCATCGAGTGATACTTCTAAATTCTATATCCGTCTGTCTCTCTATTTATCTATCCCCTCTCTCTCCACCCTGCTCTCTTTCTCTCTCTTTCTCTCTCTCTCTCTCTCTCTCTCGCTCTCCCCCTCTCTCTCCCCCTCTCTCTCCCCCTCTCTCTTTCGCGCTTAGAAACATGGTATTAAAATATTTATAAGTTTTGCAAATTATTATGTTTACATACATATTCCATACTGTGTCATTAATGTTACAGTGACCGCCCTCACGACTATCTACGATCCCTCCACGAGTGACCCTGCCGCGGAGACGGACAACGCTGTTGAAGGCGTCGATGCTAGTTCCGATACAAAGCTCGTCATCAATTCCATTGTCCTCGACATCGTCCTCGTCGACGAGAACGGAGTGCAGGTCGTTCTCAAAGACGGCGAAGAAATACTCCTGACATTCGGGTCCGACGAACCGGTGAGAGAGAAGTTTTATTTCGTCGAGTCTTGCATTTTTTATCGTTAATTGTTTTAGTCCATGTATCATCGTTCGGGGAATATAATTTCGTAGTATGTAATTTGTTTATACAAAGTAAAATCGACATTATATTCCAATTAATTTGATAAAATGTGGGTGAACGTCACACCTAAACTGTTCTTTGCTTTCTTCTTCTTCTTGGGTATATTTTCCAGCTTGGAATTTTAACTCATTTTAGCCTTCTATTTATTAGAATGTTTAAAAAAAACGAAAGCAAAAAATACTTATTAGATCAAATGCTGGTTGATGATCTGTTGATATATAAATGCATGTACATATCAAAGAGAATTAACTTAGGAATTTTAATATACATCACCATCAAAAGACAAGTCTCAGGATCACACCTGGACCCTATTTTATTAAGCTTGCTATCAATAGCAAATTGTAATAATGGTTAAAAGCTACCGAAATCAATGCAATGTATAGGCTGAGAGCACATTTCTTCTAGAATTGGCCATGTTCGTGATGTAACTATTAAAGTTTATGCATATGCCTTTATGAAGCGTCTCGATACGAATTATTTCATTCACCTGTTTCGAATAAATATCTCGATAGACATAATTTAAATTCCATACGTTAGTTGCTGCTAGGTAGGACAAACATCATGGCTCGTTCCACCTAGCAACACAAATATGTGCAATTTGCATGCTGACTATTAAAAAACAACGAGGTACTTCATTATAAATTTGGTTTTCATTCAAAAAATGGTCTATTTCGGCACTTGATATCGATGATTAGATTTATGAAACATGATTATTGGCAATGGGGAATTAAGCAGGCCAGAAAATATACTCTTATGGACTAAACCTACAACTCCGTGCACGTTTCATCTTTTATTTCATTTCTAGGGAGGATTCAAGGAGAGAATTTGCCGGTTTTATGATGAAGACCTATCCAAGTAAGATTTCGCAATTTTATTTCAACCACACCCTAATCTGCCTGTGGAGATGTCGTGGTATAATGGTTCATTTACCGTGACACTTAATCCAAGGATTGAGGGTTCGAATCTCAGTCCGGCACTGACGTCCATTGGCAAAACATTAATCCACGTTTGCCAATATCCACCCAAGTGTAAATGGGTACCTGGCAATCGCTGGGGAAATAATGATTGCAGGGCTCTCAGGACAGCATCGAAACTGATGAGGCGATCTGAGTAATCACTATAATTATCATTAGTATTATCATCATTATCTAATTAGATATTAAATCTACCATTTTGAAAATTGAGTAACCCTTCGGCCCTTTTAAGTGTTGATTTTAACACTAGAGCTTTGAAAACGCATTTGAAGTTTAGATTTTCTTATTTTTAATAATTATACCCGAGATCGTGTGTTTAACATTTAAAACTCGTATCAAATTGCAATAATAAAATATAGAATTCAGTTAAGTAAAAGATATTTTGAACAGTTTTTTTAATGAGAAATGTTCTTCAAAAAAATGTTTAATAACCTGTTCAAAATTTAGATTCGATTCGATTTTCACGTTAAATAAAAACAAATAAAGGCCGGAAAGTTGGTGTGTATCAGTCGATTTTTTTATGACGCAATATTGTGTCATTGCACTTTTCATTCTACGAGAGGTAAAACAGGCCAGGCTAACAAAGATCGATCATGAATTATCAATAATGCTTGAAAGCAAAAATTGCTTTAAAAATAAACAGGCTCTTCGTTGATCTGAGCATGTTACCGCCCCGCTTTTAAGAAAGACGTTGATAATTGATGAATAGCTCAGTAAGTGGGGAAGAGTCGATCGCCGGTGCAGGCACACAAATTTTACGTCCTTCGTTTTTCTATTGTCGAAAATCCAATCAGTGTTGTAAAAGATTAATTAAGAAAACGACTTGAAGGAATATCGCGAATGAAAATTTCTCCTATAAATTTTGCATTCCTCAACTTACAGGTCTGTTATCTACTGAAATTTAAACCCAGTGCACAGTTTAGTTAATTGTTCAAAATCGAGTTTAACAAAGAAAGTTAGTATAAGGGTGAGTTTGCCCTTTAGTAAAAGTGATTTTCAGGGTCGGATTTCACTGAATTTGCAGAATTAATCTAAGATGGAACGAAAACAACATTATTTTTGACACGTTCTTTTTTTTTCTTAAAAAAAATTCTGTTTAGATGGTCTGGTGTTGGCTGCTACGTTCAAACTTCCAACGCGAGTGTTGTCACCTGCGCGTGTAACCATACCACCAGTTTCGCAGTGCTTCTACAGTTTGAGGTATATAGTCATTGTATTCATGTAGTCCTATCATTTGAGAGTGAAATATAGGTGGTCAACACCCATAGGAAAGTGAAAAGTATGCCGCAGACCTGCCGCAGACCTGCCGCAGATCTGCCGCAGACCTGCCGCAGACTTTTAGTCTGCGGCAAAGAGTATGCCGAAGTATGCGGCAGAAAGAAATTTTGCTGCAGACTTGCCGCATACCAGTATGGCACAGGAACAGTCTGCGGCAGATCTGCGGCAGGATGAAATTTTGCTGCAGACTTGCCGCATACTAGTATGCCACAGGAACAGTCTGCGGCAGATCTGCGGCAGGATGAAATTTTGCTGCAGACTTGCCGCATACTAGTATGCCACAGGAACAGTCTGCGGCAGATCTGCGGCAGGATGAAATTTTGCTGCAGACTTGCCGCATACTAGTATGCCACAGGAACAGTCTGCGGCAGATCTGCGGCAGGATGAAATTTTGCTGCAGACTTGCCGCATACTAGTATGCCACAGGAACAGTCTGCGGCTGATCTGCGGCAGGATGAAACTTTGCTCCAGACTTGCCGCATACTAGTATGCCACAGGAACAGTCTGCGGCAGATCTGCGGCAGGGCGAAACTTTGCTCCAGACTTGCCGCATACCAGTACGCCACAGGAACAGTCTGCGGCAGGTCTGCCACAGGAAATCCCATTAAAGTCTAATAGGGCCAATTGAAACCAATCATCTCATGCATATTCATTATTACTTTACACGTGTGATAGAAAAATACATTTATCATGATTTGTTAAGCAAATTAAGACAATGCACATCATTTTTGTGATTTCTATTTTCCTTTTGCCATTATTAACCAATAGATTATTTTGTCTGATCATGTTACAATTACATTCACGTTTAAGCAATAGATATATTGATTACTAACCAAGAAACTATGATTACTAACCAAGAAACAATATACATATTTAGTATATATATGTGTACGAGCCTGTGTCACTTTAAATGTTACTCTTGAATACACTTCAAATGATCAATGTGATGAAGTTAATACAATTGAGAATAGAATATACCTAATTGGTAATATCGATATATATTGGTATTACCTAATTGGTAATATCGATATTGCCAATATTGATTATGAAGTATCAATCAGTTAATTTATCACTTTATTGCCACGTACTGGATATGAAAGAGTATGCGGCAGGTCTGCAGCAGGTCTATATGAGATATGAATATTCATGACGAAGAGTCTGCGGCAGGTCTGCAGCAAGTCTGCGGCAGACCTGCCGCAGACTCTTCATCATACTGAAAGAGTATGCGGCAAGTCTGCAGCAAGTCTGCGGCAGACCTGCCGCAGACTCTTCATCATACTGAAAGAGTATGCGGCAAGTCTGCAGCAAGTCTGCGGCAGACCTGCGGCAAAACTAATTTGCATGTGAAAAAGATGACTGTCTGCGGCAGGTCTGCTGCAGATCTGCGGCAAGTCTGCCGCAGGAGTATGCGGCAGGCTCATTTCTTTCCTATGGGCAGTGTTACACGAACTGAATTTTTGGTTTCAAGTCTGGATCTTAGGCCCTTCACGTGGATGTTAATTTGAATTACAATTAGAATTTTGATAAGAATTTGAGTTTGAAATTGAAGTTGAATTGGATGTTGAATATGAATTTGAACTTGAATTTGAATTTGAGTTTCAATCCGATGTTGTATTCGAATTCGAATTTGATGTTGAACTCGAATTTGAATTTGGATTTGAGTTTGAAATTAATGTTTATTACATCATGTTCCTAGCTTAGTGAAGAGCATTAACGTCCATGCCGAATCCATACTAAACATATAAAGGAACCAAACGAATACTTGGGCTACAGCGTAAGGTTAAAGCTTGAACACTATATCAAATCCTAAACCAGACCTAAGGCCCATGCAGTCACAGCCCCAGCTCTCACCCTATATATTTTACAACATAAAGTCTGGACAAAATGTCGTCGGAGGAATTGTCGCTGTACATTGTGTCAGTGTCAGTATCGGAGCATCGAAGTAGGACCGATTCAAGGATTGCCAAAACAAACTATGGCATAGCTTAAAGATAAAGCTAAGTTCTCGTCATGCAATTGCATTGTGAAAAAAACGGTGTGGAATCGATCAGAAAAGGTTGATCATCTAGCATATATGTATTGCTGTGTACTGCAAGGTTCTGGAATCACCAAAATGATAAGAAATTTGGCCCAGTCTTGGTCAAGTTACAAGCACTGTGCACAGAAAGATGTATATGTGGCTACACGAACATGCGGCATAAAAATCCGTCCCAATGTTTATGTTGTTACATATTTAGAATATGAAAGCATTTGAAGAGCCTTGCATTTCTGGGAACTTTTTTTGTATCTGATGTTCTTCCACATAATAAGAATGATAACGCTCTTCTCAGAACTCAACCTTCTCTTTAAGTAAACAAGAAGACTGGATACCAACAAAGACTGATGAATATGATGATTATAGTTACCTTTTTTTGCTTGAGAATTCAGTACGAAATGGCACCTAAATGGAAATTATGACAATCTGCAATTTCAGAGTAATTTAAAAACCGATTTTAAAGCGATACTGAATTTAGGAACATTCTGTCCTAGCGTACTGTTTATTGCACAACGCCTCATGATCAACTTGCCAACAGTGTGTAACCCAATATCTTATTCCCGCTTCGCAGACAGGCGACTATGGCGAGCGATAAATATGCTTATATGAGTCCAAAAAATGGGGAAAATGCGCGCTATAGACGACTCGCAGCTATTGAAGCAACGAGTTAAACCACCATACTGCAACAGCTGACCTGAGATGGCGCTAGAGAGGATTTTGCGGTAGTGCCCCTAGTACAGTATGGCTTTAATCCTGTTTTTTTAATTTTTTTTTTTTATCGAATACAGGATTGTGCGATTGACGGTGCCAACCTTCAGGTCCAGACTTTAATGACTCGATTCTTCAATGCCATCTCCATCGCCGCCCTTTTCCTCTCCGTCATTATCTTCAGCTATCTCAAGTAAGTTCATCCATTTATGACAGGTTTTGAAGTCTATTGGATAAGTCTACGGACTGTGAACCACAGGGTACTGGGTTCGAATCCATGTCGCATCATTTTTAACTTTAACATTAATTGGCAAGACATTATCTTTGACAAAGGTATATGACATTCGTTTTCTATCACATGAGTCAGTTGTTGACAGACAGACCTTTTAAAATAAGACATGCGACCGAGGACGAGGAATTAACTAGTCCACGTGCAGCCTTTACCGTTTTCATGTCACGCGCCCAATCACCTGATAAAATAGGGACTTTTAGATTCTGCACGATGAGATCGTGGACTCAATGTGACGTCACTGCCAGTGCCTTAAAAGGACGTCACATTGCCTTAAAAGGGCAGTCCACGTTCTCGTCGTGCAGAATCTAAAAGTCCCTAATAACACATCCTCAACGCTGAACCGGTGACAGTATAGTACTTGCCTTGTTGTGTTCTTTTCGACGGTTGTTTTGGGGGATCGCGTGATGTGTGTGCGCCGCCGGGATGCGCTTTTTTCCCGTACCGCTAATGCGTCGCAGAGGTTATTTTGACGACTTGAATAGAGGCAACATCCGACACACACACTGAATCGCGTCTCACTAATCTGAAAACGTGACAAGATCAGTGCGGCGCGATTCAGTGTGTGTGTGTGTGTGTGTCACTGGGTTTTTACAGACGTGTATCAATCAGATATGATTATTTACGTCTGGGGACCGACCTTTAAACGTCACCATCCGAAAGACGTGACTCAGTTTCGAACCTAGCTGCGTCCTCGTCTGAATCAGTTTGTAATTTCCACTGTTAGCTGGATTACAGGAGCACGCCACAACGCTTAATTTTTGTTGTTGTTGTTGTTTTAGTTTTAAGGGCGTGTGTCATTCAATTGTGAATATTTACGCCGGATGTGTGTGTCGGATGTTGCCTCTATTCAAGTCGTCGAAATAACCTCTGCGACGCATTAGCGGTGCGGAGAAAAAAAAAGCGCGTGCGGGATGCGTATAATTGAAGAATGAAAAGTATATATATAAACGCACAGGATATGGACTAGGATAATGATTGTTGATATTGATTTATTTGATTTAAATTTTTAGGTTGTACACCTCTGACCAGGTCAAAGTTCACATCTGCCTTGCCATCTCACTTGCCTTGGCCCAACTGGTAATGCTCTTCATGGGCAACACCGAGCATAAGGTGAGTAACCTTTAAAAAGAGGTCACCCTTGACTACGCAAGTAGGTCTACTGAGGACATGTCCAAGTCTACGGAAACGAGTCCAGACCAATTTTAGAACGTTGCCTCCTGAACATTAACCCATGCTGGACAACTAAACAATACAGGGCCTTCGGGGAAGTAACACTTTCCGGATGAATACCGGAATAATAATGCTAATTATAATCATAATAATAAAAGCAATGAAATTAGTAATAATGATAATGACAATAATAATCATTACCAAATGCCTCCTGGACAATCATCTATGCCGGTTAACCGTTAACCGTTAACTTCCCCTAAAACATGTACCCAATCATCTCCAATACAATATCCAGTCTGGATAACTTTTCCAGATACATTTACCCATTATGTCTGGGACAATAAACCACATGATACCGGACAGTGGCGTTTTTTATTATTAAAAGAAAAATCTTCTTGGAATAACACGTCTTATTGATTTTTGTTTTAATTATCTCTACCTATTACACACTCACCCGAACACCAAAGGGTATCTGTCGAGCCATAGCTGGTATCATGCACTATTTGTTGACGGCATACTGCATCTCCATGATCCTTGAAGGGACTCTGCTTCATCGCAAGGCCTCCCGGACTCACAAGGCCCCAGCCAAGGGTTGGGTGATCATACTCTGCGTTTGGGGTAAGGATTGGTAGAAATATTAGTTGTGGGTGGTGGTGGTGGTGATAGTGGTGGTGGTGGTGGTGGTGGTGGTGGTGCCAAAGAGCCGCCTCTCAGTAAGACATCTCGTACCCACAAGGCCCGGTCAAGTAATAGCTGATTGGACTTTGGGTTTTGGATATGGATTGGAACTTTGGAAGCATAACCAGTGATAGTGATATAGTGTTGGTAGTATATGCTAGTACTCGATGGTGACAATGCTGTTGATGGGTTTAGGGGTAAGGGCTGATAGTTATATCAGTTAAGAGGAAGAGTGGATGGTATTTTTGATAGAGGTTATAGTGGTGTTGTTGGTGGTGGTGGTGGTGGTGGTGGTGATGGTGGTGGTGGTGGAAGTGGTAACACAACAAGGCCTCCCGTACTCACAAGGGTTAAGGCTGATATACATAACAGTGATGGTCGTATATGTGATGATGATGATGGTGGTGGTGGTGGTGGTGGTGTTCTTACCTACAAGGCCCCAGTTAAGGGTTGGCTTTTCGTACTTTGCGTACGGGGTAAGAACCGGTAGTTTTACCATTGATAGTTGCGGTTGATTGTGCTTTTCGAAGGGGTTATGGTGATGATAGTGGCCGTGCCACTCATACCCATAAGGCCCCATTCGAAGGTTTGCTCATAACGTAAGTGGACCCATTCGATCGCCCATGGATGATGGGAACATGTCCTATGGACACTGTTGTTCAATCATTAAAAATGCATTTGGGTATTGATTCATAAATCAAAATAATATTCCGTTTCTCAATTTTCTTATTCATGACAAATGTGAAAGCAGTGAAGTTTTTAAGCAATCAAATAAAACAGCATTCTGTTTCTTTTCCCCAATAGGCATTCCATGTGTGATGGTAGCCGTATTGATGGGAAGTGTGATTGATGGCTATGGCGGTGAATGTGCGTAAGTATTTACTAGAATAACGACTGGTATTCAAAACTAACCAACTATAATCGTAAAAAGGATTGCGATTGATCGGAATTGATTGCAAGTCATCCGATCAATCGCGAACTTGCAATTAGTATTGAGCTTTCCCCATCCTTTGTATATCACGTTAAAAGAAGAACCTAGTATAAATGCTCCTGAAAAGATGTGTCATTAAAATTACCTCATATTGGAACTATGAGCAGAAAGTGCAGGAAGGTATAAAGAAAACAAAATAACATGCCACATGCGTGTGTAGTCCCACATTGACATTTCTGTGTGATCGTCTATACGATTGTCAGCAAGATGACGTCATTTTTGTTGCTGTTGATCATTTTAAACCTAAAAATGAACATTTATTGGAATGTACTACATAATCATCCTTTACAAATTGTTTCCGGGCAGTTTCTTTCACAATATATTCACACAACCAGTACTCAACTTTACCTGTAACAATTTTGAACTGCACTTTTATTTTAAATAGCTGCTGGTTGAACATACAATACGGAACTATGTATATGTGGCTTGCAGAGGTTTGTCTTGTCGTAGTGGTGAGTAGATGATACGCAATTTTACTATTTTCCCGGTAGCCGGAATCACTATACCCCCTTCACATATACGGATTTTCTTACGAGTCCTTACGGATCGCGCCAATTCACGGATATTTCACGGATCCTTACGATTTGGCCACTTTTACGACCGATTTAAGATTTGTTACGAATTATTACGAGCGATTTACGGCAAAATTTCATGAGTTGTTACGAGTTGCCACGGATAACTACGAGCAACTTACGGGCATGTGACGACCTGTTTACGTGTTGTTACGAATAGTTACGAGTTAGTAACAAGTATTTACGAGTCCTTACGATTATGCAGATTTTATACTTTTCCCCAAATCGTAAACAACACCTAATAATACGTAAACAATACGTACGAATACCTAAAGTATACTTTCTATTCGTAAAGTACTCGTAACTACAGGTAAAGTGCTCGTGTTAGCTCGTAGCGACCCGTAAAGCCATCGTAACACGACTCCGAATGAAATCGTAAACAACACGTAAGCACTCGTAACTAATCCCTAAAAAAAATCGTAAACTAGCCGTAACAAATCATTACAAATATTGTTACGAGACATTTACGGATCCTTGCGAGCAGTTGACGGATGGTACGTTATTTGTTGTTGCGAGCGGTTTACGATACTTACGGATTGTTACGAGCTATTTTGTCATGTCAAAAAATTTGCCTCTCCCTTCACGCGAGTTGTGATGAGTTAATTACGGATACCAGCGAGTTATTTATGGATTGACTACGAGTTGGCGATACGTAAAGACTCGTAAAAATCCGTGTATGTGAAGGGGGTATTATGAACTATTAACCGGTACTGGCATTGTTCGTTTCTTTACGGGAATGGCTTAAATCACGACTCCAATTTCGACCAATCAATGGCTAGATTTCTAAAGAGAGGTATATAACATAAAATATATAGACTCTAGATATAATGCTTGGTGGTCCTTGCGAGTATTCCAGCACGGTGGTCGAGACCGTCCCAGTGGATTTGGTTAGTTACTTGAGTAAACGTAGCACATATTTATTCCATATCCCGCAGTTCTGATTAGTTTAGCTTTACCGCACCTACATTTAAAAGAAACAGTAACCTGTTGGTTATTAGAAGAATTATAATCATAGTTTTGCCAGTGAATCAGCTCCCGAACTGGGAGGAGGGGGCAGAGCAGGGGCGGATCCACGCACCGATTCTACCGGCCCGGGCCCCCCTAGCCCCCCCCCCAAAAAAAAACAGTAAAAAAATTGGATAGTAACGTAAATTTTTACCTTATTATAAAAAATTACAAAAAGCGGGTCCCCGCCCCTAACAAAATTAAATTAAATTAAAAAAAATTGCCCCCCTCCCAAAAAAAAACAATAAATAAAATTTAAAAAATAGTGGTCTTCCTGTCCAGCATCCCCCGCTTATTCACCGACCGGCTGATATTTTCTCAAGATTTGGGTCTCCCCTCTTACCGCCGACTGGATCCGCCCTGGGGCAAAGAGGGGGTGAGGGGGATGGAGGGGTGGACCTTCCCGCTAAAGGTAATCTGGGACGAGAGGGACAAAAGGGACACAAAATTGGGCAGAACACCTTGTCCAAGGATGACTTGTATGCACCAAGCAAGGATCGAACCGGGACCTCTCATAATTATGTTAGTCAAGAGCATTCACAATATACCACAGTGCTCTATCTCACTCTCAGTTGGATGTAAATATCATTGAACTTTTTACCGGTAAATCTTTTAGCCAATACTTATTTTGAATAATGTGCTGACTGGGCTAGTCCCTTGAATTGTCAGTGAACGGAGCAGCTGGAGGGCACCGCCCCCCCCCCCCCCCCACAGGCAGAGCCGATGATTGAAATGGGTGATATACATATTGCAAAATTGTTTTGGGGTTTCTGATGGTATAACTCTATTATCAAAATTAACATTTACTTTACTTGTATTAAAGAGAACTGTTGCTCAGCTAGCGACATGAGCGTCCTTGGACGGTGTGTGCGCTCTATACGTTTACACTATTTGTATCATTGTTATTAATATTTCATTATGTTTATTCTGATTCTATGGTTACAGGTTAACACCGTTCTCCTGTATCTGATCATGCGCACTTTTATCTCTCTCAAGGCGAACACAAAGAAGAGTGATACTGACAGACTCAAGTAAGTAAAGAACCTTAACTAAACAGGAGAAATACAAGATTTCCTAATTAAAGATAAAGTTATCTTAAAGCTTTTTAAAAAAACAAATTGCGAGCTTTCTGGTTTACTTTAAGCTTCTGGTAATTACCAGTATCACTTGCAAAAAAACGATCGGGTATAGAAAGTGCTCTAATATTATGAGTAGAATTAGAAATATCAACGAATACAGATAAACTGAAGAATTTCGTCTTGCTCTCAGCAGACTGGTCCACAAGAATGAAAAGAAATTGGAAGCTAAATAACGGACTATGATTGGCTGCCGGACAGTAGACGTAATGCCAGCCGTTTAATGAAAACGGGCTGTAGCAATAAATTATTCGTATTAAGTATTTTGACGTCACCTGTGCCTTGAAGGCTAAAGGTCAACTGAAGCATTGTATTCCGCGGATCTCTCTTCCCTGTATAGTGCAGTGGGTTCTAGCGTGCAAAGGTGGTAACTCTTCTCTACACGATGTCTCCATTTAACTCCTTATCCGAGGGACGGCAGCCATAGCAGTATGACGAAAGTATTTACATTATCAATTTTCAGGGCTACTGCTCGTGCTTTGTTGATCATGATGCCTATGCTGGGAATGACTTGGGTGTTCGGTGTGCTGCAGGCTTCGTTCAAAAGTGTCTTTTTGCAGTGGTTGTTCATCCTATTCAATGCAATGCAGGTAACAACAAACAAACAAACAAACAACAACAAACAACAACAAAATCACAACACTACAACATCACAACACAACATAATTAAATAACAATTATGATGATGCCGATAATAATATCAATGATAATAATAATAACTTAATTATATGATAATGACAAGAAGTAGTAGAAGAAGGAGAAGAAGAAAAAGAAGAAGAAGAAGAAGAAGAAGAAGAAGAAGAAGAAGAAGAAGAAGAAAAAAAAGAAGAAGAAGAAGAAGAAGAAGAAGAGGAGGAGGAAGAGGAAGAAGAAGAACAACAACAGCAACTACAGCAACAACAACAATAACTAGAAGAATAATACTCGGGCAAAATTGAACATATCAAGATTTGGTATGGAAATGAAATCTTGGCAAGTTTCAATCCATAGGTAATTAGAAAGATTTAGAAATCTAGCAGGAACATTCAAACCAATACAAAAAAAAATAGCTTCTAATTTCATGACGTTTCGATAGGATGACATTTTAAGTATCGGCATAATTACACAATTTAAAGAGTTGAGAGAAAAAATACTCTTGCCCTTTGTCTAAACAGTTAAAAGTTACACATCTGTAAACGTCGAGAAATAAACGTCTTGCCTCTATCTTAACCATCGTTTAATATATTTTTCGTCATCAGGGACCCATGTTCTTCGTGTTTCAGTGCGTCATGCATCCAGAGGTGAGATACCTTATCTAAAAAAAAAAACTCACCAAAACCACCCCTCTCCCTCTTTCATCGCCACGACTATGCGGCGTCATTACTTTCTCATCTATTTCTTCATTTTCTTGTTATATTTCGAATAAGAGCACATTACAAGAGCAATCCTTCTCAATAATATATTACTACTATGATATTCTTCCTGTTTGTGATAGTGTATAATGAGAGAGCTCATAAAGTTACATGTCACATCTATACCTGGACGCAATCTTCTCTTTAATTTCAAACTTGTTCAGATTATCTTATTTCATCATCCTGTCAAGTGATTTTGGTTTCCGTTTGTCGTAAACAATGATGCGAAACGTCGTAAATCACAAGCTATATGAAAGATCCGTGACTTGACAGATTTAATATCTATAAAGACGTGAATCAAACCAGTGTTTAGCTACGAGGTATGTGTGTTTGTGTGTGTGTGTGTGTGTGTGTGCGTGTGTGTGCGTGTGTGTGTGTGTGTGTGTGATGGTGGGTGGGTCGGGGGGGGGGGGGACTTGCTCCCAATCGAATAGCAAAAAGGTAAGGGTAAGGTAAGGAAAGGGAAAAGGACAAGAAAATAAAATGATACCCCCCCCCCCGTTACGGATACCCTTCCTCATGGATGGCCTTGTTAACTCACATTTTTCTATCTAATAAAACTGGTGCTGACCCCCCCCCCCCTCCCCCCTCCGATGGCTGTAACACTCTATTATTTAAGTGGGCTCACACTACCCAACTTATTCACGTGCGCGTGCGATTGTTTTGCACTTGCGTGCGTGTGTGTGTGTTTGTGCGTGTGTGTATGTGGGGGGGGGGGGGGGTTGGAAGGGTGGGGGCAGATTGGTTCACGAACAAAGTGGTCATATCATTCAAACAATGGGCGGAAGAAATATAGTGGCAAGATTGTTATGTTTCACATAGTGTTAAAATTTATTATCTCTTAACCAAAACATTGTTAAATTTAACATAACATAACATGGCATAATCAGCTATTAAGAAGAACTAAAAGATCATTCTATGTCTCTTACTGTATACCTATGTAAGAGAACGTTGGAAAACAGCTCGTGGGCTTTCTCGTTCTTTTTTGTCCGTTTGGGAAAATAGCATAGAAGAATTGTCTCCTTAAAGAGGATTGCTCTTCAAATGCCATTATATTATAATAATAAAAGTTAATTGTAGTATCGATGGCAAAAAAAAAATCAGTTTGTTTGGCGGTGTGCCTAAGGGATTAACAAGGTTGGATTGCCCTTTAACGCACATCCAGAAGGATTGTCGTTCTGGCGTAAGTTTTGTTGATAGTTTTAATACATAATAAATTAATCACACCATTTTCTAGACAATTTAGAATTGCATGATCAATAGTTAACTTGAGACAATAGCAGAACTTTCGAGAAAAAAATGCATTCGCTGGTCTATATCCCATTATGAAAAAAAAAAGATGTTCAGATTACGCAATACGTCGTTGTAATCTCCCCTATAAATGGATCGCAGCTTTTTTCGAAAAATCAACTCAAGCGAGATTACAATACCCTATTGTTTGTCCCGAGGAATCATGTTCGGATTACGTAATAAGTCATTGTTATAATGCTAAATATATTACTCATTGCGGATGTAGAATCGAAAATAATATCGCCAGTGATATTCGTTTGTCTCGCAATGTATGGTCAACAAGGGATTTAAAAGATCACGACGTCTCGTGCGCCGCTGCAATACTTCGTCAGGTGACTGTTGCAGCGGCGCACGAAACGTCGTGATCTTTTAGATCCCTTGTTGACCATACATTGCGAGACAAACGAATTTCACTGGCGATATTATTTTCGATAAATAATTGTTATGTTTGCATATTTTGAATATATGACATGCAAGGCTATTGAAATTCCTTGGGTTGATATTTCGAAAGTAGTGGTTATCGTGTTATATTTCAAAAGGTGATGGGAAAGGCCATTGAAGTGAATTTAAGTTGATACTTCGAAAGCACCTGCGGTCGTGTTCATTATCCTTTAACGCTAACTTATTTAACTTATTCATTAACCCTTTAACCAACTAACAGGTCCAGAAGGTTATCGGCCGCAAGCGCAAGACAGGCGACTCGTCCAAGTGGGCCATGAACTCCTCGACCTCTGGCACAGGTCGAACCGAGTCGACAGACAACAAGGGTCATTCTCAATTCACAGAATCCAAGATGGGAAAAGGTCTTTAAAAAGGATGTGTGGAACCGGTCCCCGAAACAATGACGTCATCGGGATAATTTCTCTCGACGGTTGAGGTAGTTTATTAATTCATAAAAGATAATATTTGTTAAAGAGGGTTTAAAATGGCATGTTCATGCTTTGATATTGATTAAGACATAGTGAGGTTTTTTTTATCGGAATCATTGAATATTTTCGAGCACTACATCGACTGAAAATGTTTTCCATATTCAGAAATTAATTCAATTAAAGACTCACTTGTGCAAGGGTAATTAAACGTTTTAAGTAGTACAGAAAAATATTAAATGGGTAAATAAATTGATAAGTCTGAATTATTTTTGAATTGTGTTCTATTGATGAAAATAACACAACATTAAGAATGATACATTTTGTTTGATCGTCTCGAACAACTAAAAACGAATCTAGTCTCTGCCAACTTCAGAAAATAATTCAAATTATGAAAGCGTATCAATTCTCTTTGCTTAGCATAGTGCCATTGTATTGGTTACTAATTGGTTGGTTGGTTTGTTGGTTTTACCTGAAAGCATGAGTGTGCCTGTAAGTAAGCAACCAAAGGAACAACAGCGTAAGTCCTGTCCTAGGGACTTGGTAATGAATATTAAAGCCTTACCAAATGGCACTAGCGCATCGATATGATTTCGAGCCCGGGTCCTCCCGGTTACGAGCCCACTGCTCTACCACTGAGCGATCACGCCTCTTTAGGATACGATAAAACATTGTTGTTAAAATTAAAATCAGGATATTTTACTTAGAAGTTTAAAGAAAATTGATACTAATTCACTTCTTTTAAAGTCAACTTAATTCAATATAAAAAACAATGAACAAATGTACATGATATAGATTTACTGTCATAAAAAGACGGAGCGGTGGCTGAATATCAAATTTAAGACAAACATGATGTCGCACAAAACATTAGATATCATATTTATATTATTCATATTTGTAAATATTTATGTAAAATACTAAAGCGTTGATTTGCTATCAATTATAAGTCATGGAACTATTTCGTCCATTTTATAGGATAGGAAGAGAACTGGATCAAAGTTAATGTGAGACAATTTTTCGGAAAAAATATTAGAAATTCGATTAGTGAGCATGGTTATAAGAGCTTTTTAATACTTTGTTGTTGTTTTTGGATATTATGCTTATTAGTTTATTAATATCATTGTAATAAGCAATGAATATTTATTTTTATTTTTTATTAGTTGTAACGTATTTTATTACATTGCTATGCTTTAAAAAGTCTTTCATCTGATGCCCGTGTGCCAACTATTCAATGCCTTTCAAAAATAAGTCTTTCACTCTGAATTTTTTCTCAGGTTTTTACAAAGGCGCAATTTCTGTTACGCAAGATGTATTTTCTGTCATGTATATTTTGCAATTTGTAATCTATTCAAATGACGCAATTTTCACTTTCTCTTCCATTAAATATGTTTTCGTAATTTTTGTTGGTTTTTGTAGTTTACAAACATGACTTACATGTATATCAAGGCAAATAATTATAATGTCGTGTAAATATAAAGGGCATTTGAATGATATCACCATTTTATGACTGAAAAGATCACAAGAAGTAGTAAGAGTATCACATTGTTGATAGTTTAAAAATTTGTGTACTTGTTTCCATATATTATCTCCCCAATTGGACTTTCAGGCATGTCTAATGGTCTTTCATTAATTTAAATATTTGATACATCAATATTATACTATTTGAATGTTAGATTTTAAATTTTTAATTTGTAACTAGAGATGATAATATACAGGCCATGTGATAAGGATTGTTTGTGTATATCAATGTTGTAAAGTTGTTTCAGTGTCTGTTGAAATATGGTACGTAGTGTCTGTCCTCATTTCCCCCATTTTGTTTAAAGATTTCATTATATCAATCAAATACTACTATTACAAAACTTCTGACAAAGTCATTTACATTTTGAGATATTCTTATAAATATTTTGCACTTTATCTACATTCAATGCTAATATCAACAACAAAACTTATCATATATGATATTGCGATATATGTTGGGAGAACCAATACCGTCCGAAAGTGAAGCGCGGTAAAAAACAATTTTTGTGAATCTTGGTCACACATGAACCCTAACGTTTACACGGGACATTTTTATAGAGATTACTTGCAGTCCGCACGCCTTCATATAAATTTTACAAATTACTGATCAATGTATGCATCTATAATCATTCTTATACATATGATTTGTGATATAGGAAGCATTTCATTCTTATACATATGATTTGTGATATAGGAAGCATTTCTTTGTGCCTTATGCGTAGCATGAATATCATGTAATTTCGTATAATCATATACTCGTATTACTATCATATTTCTCAAGTGTAAACAATGTGCGTAATTACTGATTTTAATCGAACAAAAATACTTTCACATACATGTTTATATTAAAACACATGTTGTCACGTGATCCTAGTTTATATACTAAAAATAGGTCAATATTTTCTAATAAGTTTCCTTAAAATGTGTCCTATTTTTAGAAAATTGTCGATGAATGTGAAAATTCGCAAATGTAAGATATTTTTTAATGACTATAAGCAAATATTGTAATATATTATTTGAATTCAAATTCCGCACCAGAGAGATGTATGTATATATATTATTGAGGCACATGTAGATAAGAACATTCATTAAGATTGAAAATGCACTTACTAGAATTACCGTCATCTCGTTGTGAATTTCGTAGATTTAATTGGTTGAATATAACTTTTAAGGAAGGTATTATAATTTAAACTATAGATTATAATACACTACGTTTATTGTTCACGAATCCATTGCTTATTGATGTAAATCATGCTTAGGCAAATTTGAAGCACTATTATATTGTATCTAAAAATTGAGTTAATTGAAACAAAAGAAGCTCAGACTGTCACCTAATTTCCATATCAACTAATCAAAACATTCGGGACATATTTTACAATTTTTTAGAAAAATCAGTATGCACTCAAAAAGCTTGAGCGTTGAAACACCATTTACACGGGCCGAGAAGTGGTAACATTTTCATAAAGGGTACATTCACTATTTTAAAATGACGGACTCTGTAAATATTGAAGGTAATATGTTCAAAGGTGGCAATCTACCATTTTAAAACAATTGGCATTTCCTCGACCGTTTTAAATGTTGATTTAACATGGCTTTTAAGAGTGTTTCATAGAATATCTGTAATATCATGACAAGAAGAACAAAAGCATGAAAAGAAGGCAAAATTATGAGGGGTATGGGGTAATTCAGCGCCCTTGTCTCCTTGTCCTATGTCATCCGGTTAGGATTGTCAATCAATATTCTGATCATTAAACACCATCGAATGGCTACAATGTCCGTACACATTTTGTGATCGCGAACAAAGAATTATCTGTAAAAAAAGAAGAAAGATAGAGCACCTTTAAATTACTACACATTCAATAGTTTTTTCAAACACAGTGTCAAGTACACTTAATTGTTTAGTGTATCATATCAAATAATTTCACTTAGTACACAATCAACCATTAGTTGAAGGTGGAGGGTGGGGGGGGGGTACCCCTTATTCACTCCAGAATTGACTTATTGGTACATCTGTTATTGTTATTTATTATTTTCTGGCATTGTGACAGGGGGAGGGGGCATATACTGGAGGGGCCTCTGCTGATATGTTTTAACAACTTACAGCAAACTTTAAGTTTGTTAGGCATTAGTATAATTTTTTTAATATCAACTACTGCCATTTAGAACGGACAATAATGTTTAATATGACACCATGATGCATGTCGATGAAGTAAGCATGCAATGGTGAATAAAGAAATATGATATATTTAAAGGAAGATTTAAAGACTCTAGTAGTGAATGAATAAGTTGGTCATGATTACTAGTTACTTGTCAAGTCTTAAGGAATTGGATTTTAGTCATTTCTTAAGACATTAAGTGAAATTGAGTATAGCAAAGAATGGCACAGTCTACATCAGTATGAGCTATTTTCTGTGTTTCTATTTAATCAAACGCTATACTTAGGTACAATGCTTAATAACCTGTTTCAGGTTTGCAAAATAACTAACAATATACAAACAGAGCTTGTAATAATAAACATTTAAAAAATTTATAGGTTATAATTCAAGTTTTTGATCAAAGTACCGTGCGGATGGGGCAGGAAATGTGTGTTTGTGCTTCATGGAAGTTTGCTGTACCGGTACTCAACGTTGACCCCTTAAATCATTTATTTAAAATAAAATAATAGTACCGATCAATAAGTGTTGTAACCTGGAAATTCTGTGGGTACGTTAATATTACACACTCTGTAAAGGATTGGGAATTTTAATAGATGAAAACAGAATGATACGGTTCGTTATGTGAGGAAAATGTTATTAAAACTGCCTTTGTCTTTCATATTACATGTTTTTATCGCACTTTCAATAAAAGTATACTTTGCACAATTTTACTGTGTCCGGGAGTGGTAATTATTGAGTGTGTGCGTGGATCACATCTACCATTTATAATATCAAAGAGCTTATCAATTTTGTGCTTTGTCTTAGGACTCTCTCTGATATCCTTCTCTCATTTCATACTAAATTGAAAATAGCTTTTCCATTAATTAATATCCCACTCTGGTGAAAGAAAGTAATACCCCCCCCCCCCCCACCTGTCAGGATATTGTCGGTAAAATTGCGCTGCCGTCGGGAAAAAGAGAAAAAGGGGAGGGGAAAAAGGAGAGGGAAAGGAAAAGAAAAGAAAAAAAGAAGAGGAAAAGAAAAGAAAGAAAGGAAAAGAAAGGAAAGAAAGAAAAAGAAAGGAAAGAAAAGAGAAGAAGAAAGAGAAAAAAAGAAAAAGAGGGAGGAGAGGAAAGAAAGGAAAAGAAAGAAAATAAAGAAAAGGAAATAAAGAAGAAAAGAAAAGAAAAGAGAAACAAAAGAAACGGGAGATGAAAGAGGTAAGAGCCTGATACGGGAAGAGTGGGTGTATAGAGAGGGGGGTTGTGGGGTGGAGTCTCGTCGAGGGAGCAAGAAAGATACGGGTAAATATGTTGCTGTGTCGGGTCAGCTGTGTCGGTATTCTTGCTCGATCCTCGTGTACTATATCGCTGCAGAAGTTTGAAGTCGGTGAGATGTATATTGTCGGTCGGCCGACAAGTTTTTTTCCCTACGAACTGTGACTTTTTATCCGCTGTGACGACTTCGAGAGTGACTACAACTACAGTGCTTGTATTTTCTCGAAGTTTCACTTTCCTATAATATCAGCTAAAGAAATCAAAGGTTTAAAATTTTCGGGAAAACTAAATTTAAACAAGGATTAAGAATCAACAACGGTACGACGAATCGTCTTCCTTTCTCTATATTTTGGTGAAACGCCAAAAATTTCGCGCTTCGCGTGGGAGGGGTAAATTTTATTTAGACGAGTCGAGGACGGTACAAACGAATCGTCTTCTTTCTCTAATAATTTAAGGAAACGTCTAAGCTTCCGCTATTCGCGCGGGAGAGGGAAAACTGAATTCAGATAAGGATTAAGAGTCGAGAACAGTACAACGAATCGTTTGCTCCCTCTCTCATAATTAAAGGGAACGTCAAAGCTTCCGCGCTTCGCGCTAGAGGAGGGAAACTGAATTCATACAAATTGGGTTAAGAGTCGCGAATGGTACGACGAATCGTCTGCTTTCTCTAACAATTTAAGAAAACGTCTAAGCTTCCGCGCATCGCGCAGGAGGAGGAAAACTGAATTCATACAAAGTAGGATTAAGAGTCGAGAACAGTACAACGAATCGTTTGCTCTCCCTCTCTCATAATTTAAGAAAACGTCAAAGCTTCCGCGCTTCGCGCGTGAGGGGGGAAACTGAATTCAGATAAATAGGGCTTAATACTAGTCGAAAACGGTGCAACGAATCGTCTTCTTTCTATAATGATTAAATCAAACGTCTAAGCTTTTCGCGCTTTGCGCGGAAAGGGGGGAACTGAATTCAGACAAGGATTAAGAGTCGAAAACGGTACAACGAATCGTCTGCTTTCTCTAATAATTTAAGGTAAAGTCAAAACATCCGCGCGAAGCGCGGGAGGGGAACTTCATTCAGACGAGGATTAAGAGTCGACCACGGTTCAACGAATCGTCTACTTTCTCTTATAATTTAATGAAACGTAAAAGCTTCCGCGCTTCGCGCAAGAGCGGGAGAAATTGAATTTAGACAAGGATTAAGAGTCGAGCACGGTTCAACGAATTGTGCACTTTCTCTAATAATTTAATGAAACGCCAAAACTTCCGCGCTTCGCGCGAGAGGGGGAAACTGAATTCAGATAATTAGGGCTTAATATGAATCGAAAACAGTGCAACAAATCGTCTTCTTTCTATAATAGTTAAATCAAACGTCTAATCTCTTCGCGCTTCGCGCAGGAAGGGGGGAACTGAATTCAAACAAGGATTAAGAGTCGAAAACGGTACAACGAATCGTCTGCTTTCTCTAATAATTTAAGGAAAAGTCAAAGCTTCCGCGCTTTGCGCGGGAGGGGGAGAAACTGAATTTAGACAAGGATTAACAGTCGAGAACGGTACAGCAAATCTTCTTCTTTTTTATAATAATTTAATGAAACGCCAAAGCTTTCGCGTTTCGCGTGGGAGGGGGGGGGGGGGACTTCATTCAGACAAGGATGAACAGTCGAGAACGGTACAATAAATCTTCTTCTTTTTCTAATAATTTAAGGAAACGCCTAAGCTCCCGTACTTCGCGCGGGAGGCCTATCACCCACACCCCCTCTAATGAGCGCGCTTTTTGATTCGCTTGCTCACTACCGCTCCTCCCTATAAAAATAAGATCCTAGCTCCGCGCCTGCATTAAAATATATAGCTATGAGGCTGAATAAGTTGACGAAATAATTCGTATATTTATGTCGTCGAGGAAAATGACCATTTGCGCATACGCAAGTACTATAAATAGTCCATAAGAAATTTAGCCTTCGCCCCCGGGTTTATAGGGTTAAATTTGTAGATATTGGGACATTTAATTTTGTCGGTAATTGGTGGCTAGTTTTGTGGGTAATCGTTGGCCTCTACACCCCCCCCCCGACTGAAAAAGGTCTAGCGACGCCCCTGTGCGTGTGTGCGTGTGTTTGTGAGTGCCGTGCGTACGTGTTTGTTCTTTGTGTATCAATAAAACTACATTTTTATACGACCGTCTTTTATTTGTATATCTATCCATCTACTATATTTATCCGTCTACTTGAAATGATTGAGTTAGTTATAATAAGCGGAAAATGAAGTCGACAAGCTTCGACCTTTTTCAATATTTTGACTTAACCTGCGTGTAGTTCCCTTACATCGCTCTCAAACATAAATTACTTTTATTCTGTCCAGCAGTCTGTCTACTTGCCCTACTCAAACTGGTGTTCGACTCGCCACCCCCAATTCCATAGTGTTGGCTACGTATTTGGCTAGAACATTTTGGAGGGAATGAGGTGGGGTGGGGGAGGGGGTAGCCTCTTGTCGATGGCCCTCGCTTTGTTGGGTCCGTAAACCGAGAATTTACGGACTCCGAGTCCAACAAAGCGAGGGCCATCGACAAGAGGCTAGGGAGGGGCGGAGGTGGTGTCAGATCGAATTTGCAGGCAGGGTAATTGGTCATCTTATTTTCCTTTTTTTTTTTGCGATCCTGCCTACATGGTCCTAAGATTGACAATATGCCGACAATGTCACATGACCACGCTCTCGTAGCAGCGCCCCTGTACATACCACTTTTCCTTGTATTATATGTTTATAATGATTTATCAAACATTCCACAAAACAAAAAGGGGAGCTTGACCCGTACAACCTCTTTCTGGATGCGTCTTTGCAATGTATGCTAAGAGCTGACTTATCATTTTGTAAAGTAAATACTGGTAGGTGAAACAATGGTGAAGATTTATGTCGATGTTTTTCTTTCGTTGAAAAGAAGTTCCGACATCACCAGCATACATGAAGGGGCAGAAAGGGTTTTCCCCCTTATAAATTCCAAGAATAAGAAATTCCGTCTGCATTTGTATCTGTATTTGTATTTATATATCTGTATATGGTAAGAAAATCATTCTTAAGCGCATGATGTATCGGTCATCATGCACCGGGTCATATAGGCTATCTATAACAAGTAGTTAAAAAAAAGCTTAATTTTTTTTTTTTGCATACATCTTCATAAATTCAGCCAATGATATGCTAGCAAGAAGCAGATATCTTCCCAAAATGACGGCTTGATACACTACTTCGCAAATATCGCTCTTTATTGTTAACACAAACAAAATTAAAGTGTTTTCCACTTTCTTCTAGAATAACTTGTTTTGGCGACAAATACCTCTCCATCCCTTCCCTCCTGAGGCCAAGGCGCGCGGGCAGGCAGGAAACACTGGGTACGCCCGTTGTGCGGTGACATTAAACGATTGACACTCTATCATGCAACACCGATATGGTTGTAAAATCTAGTGATAATAGTATTTATCCAAACATTATCCAAGATACAAGCTGTTTAAAGGGAAGATTGAGTTCTGGGAATAGGTGAAATATAATTTGTGAGCGTTATCGTTTTTATTATGCGTGGAAGTGAGGACGAGCATCAAAGAAAAAATGTTCCCTGAAAAGCTTGGCTCTTCAAATTCTTTCATATTGTTAATATGACAAATTGACAAGTAAATTTAATAGCTTAAAAATGAGGCCGATTTGTATGCGACATGTTTGTGTAGTCCCATTTACATCTTACATCAAGACTGGGCAAAATTTTCTGTCATTTTGATGACTCCAGAACCTTGCAGTGCACACCAATACTTATATGCTACATGTTCAACTTTATCTGATCGATTCCACACCGTTTCTCTCACAGTGCAATCGCATAGTGACCAGAACTCAACTTTATCTTTAAAGAGACCCACACGCCGCACGAAGAATCAATACAATTAAAGGTCGTTCACATCAGTTAATCCAAAGTCTGAAAGATAAGGATGATTTCTGGTAAAGATGAAAAATAACTTGTGAGCTTCCCTGTTCTTTTGATGTCAGTTTGGAAGGATATCATAGGAGAAATGTCCCCTAAAAAGGTTTTCTCTTCAAATACACTCATGGCCAAATTATGACGAGAAATACCAAGGGGGTTTTTCATAAAGATTCTAAGTCGAACTTAACTCTAAGTTGGACTTAAATATTATGGAGAGCCATTTGTGGCCTTATAATACATTCAAAAGCAAAATTCAAGTATTTTAGACTTTTCATAAATTCCACATCAAGAACATGAAATCTCCCACGATAATAGAACATAAGAATGATTTGAATCAACATTTTATGCCTTCTAAAATAATTTTTGCAAAATATTTTCAATAGTGCTTACGGCTTTCCATAATTGCTCAGTCAAACTTAGAGATAAGTTCAACTTCGGATCTTTGTGAAACACACCCCTGATGTGTTTGTGGACCATACTCTAATGATACGTGTATGTGTATTCCCACATGATCAATACATCCAAACTGCTCGGACCCCGGTTTCAAGACTGAGTCACGTCCTCTATAGATGGTGAAGTTAAAGATCGATTCCCAGACGTAAATAATCACATCTGATTATTACACGTCACTCTGCTGTCCCAATCCCATCGCTCAGGCTATCAAATCCTCTAGTTTGAAACACTTCAGTTTTCAGACCTCTTTCTTCTTCTTCTCCTTCTTCTTTATCTTCTTCTTCTTTATCTTCTTCTTCTTCTTCCTCTTCTTCTTCGTATTTCGTCTTCTCATTCGTATCGTTTCCAAGAACTCTCAATTACACACAACACACACACACACACACACACACTTTTTTTCCTCTTTTTTTCGTGTGCACACGAACTCGCGCACACACGCACGCACACACACATACACACACACGCACACACACACACATACACAAACGCAAACGCTTCCACACATCCCCATCAAGTATATTGCATGATGAGTACTGCAAAGTTATTTTTAAAAGATAGATTATATGCCTTGGAGCTACATATACATTTGGCATGAAAGTTTAATCCAAACTTTTCAGCTATTTCTAATAGTAGTTTGAATATGAGGCCTTTTATAAAGTACTGTTTTTAGGGGACCTTTCTACTATAGTATTTTTCCATCCCGAAAGCTTCCAAAATTGTTTGAATCTTTAGCAAAACCTAACCTCTCTTTATTATATTACATGAGCAACTTTACAGAGGAGAAACGCTTCACGAGTGTATTATAGACCAATTTCCACGTATCAAATTTTAATATGAGTAATAAATAATGAGTTTTAATGACCACATTATGTGAATATATAACATATAAGTATATTTATTCATTACATTAAGTTAACAAGGTAACAGACTGTAAGAAAGATGAGCAGTAAACTATAAACTATAAAAACTGTTTGAAGCGCCGAGTCGTTATACCTAAGAATAAATATTCACTGTTTTGAAGATAAGAATATTCATGTTGTTTACAAATATGAACATTAAAATATTATAATAAATCACATCATTACAAGTTATAAAATCCAATCATAAAAACATTGGTATTGGAAAATATGAGGGTACGAAGAGACGGAAGGCTGAGGTTGGGATACCGTATCCTTCTCAAGTATCGAATTTCCTTCCCCCCCCCTCTCTCTCTCTCTCTCTCTCGCCTGTCTCTTTCCTTCTCGCTATCTATTTCTATTTTCTCCTTTGGGCAGCTACTCGGAGGTGGGGGCGGTGGCATAGCGTGAGTCCACCATTAATTGAGGGGGCAGAGAAAAATACAGCTGCGCTAGGGTTGTACATGTTTTTTTTTTAGCGCATGTAGGTTAGATCTTCCTCAGCATTGTGGAAGATATGGTATGTATATGTGGTACATATAACTGCACAAATTTGAAAGTATGAAGATACACCAACAACATGGTGGCATGTACTTCTAGAGAAGAAGAAGAAGAAGAAGGGGGCATCGGTCTTACTAAGAAAATGAGTTCCGAGTTTACCAGGCTACTGATTTGGGGAGGGAAGGGTGGGAGGTGTTCCAGAAGTCTTCTTTTCGTCATTTTTCACTTCACGGTTCCCTTTCTCTCGTTTCTCTATTTGTTTCAACACTCTATTGGGGTGACGTACCTCCCATGCCCTCGATAATCACGCTACTGGTAGGTGTGTGTGTGTGGGGGGGGGGAGGGAGGGGCATGCACCCACTCCATTATTTTCTTTATTCGGAGATGCCTCGCTAAAGATCAGGAACGTTCAGTTTGTGAGAGACATTTGCAATAAAATACGGAACTTTATGAAATACATCTACAATGACATTTATGTACAATTCTGCATATAATGCATACATAATTTTATGAAATATTAAATATAAAATATGGTAATCCGATCAATATAAAAATACAGCTTTTCCATACGCCTCAGTCACATTTCAGACGATAACTAACAAGATCTTGGTCATGTGGGGTTAATGTAATTTCATGTTTGGTCTATCATCATATGTCAGCACCGAGCCGATCACGACGATGTGACTGGGGTCCAAGGGCGATTTCCTGCAATGTGTCCTGTAAGACATAATATGATACTCATCCATTTATTACATTCAAAAATGAAAATTCCTTGATATGAACATTGGCTTAATAGCTCATGCTGCAATCATAACCATAAACCTTTAGGTCAGTGACGAATCCCATGACTTTTACAAGCCGATCGCCTGTCTGATTATCAAGATATTTATGATTGGAATTCGAAAATTCGAAAACCGTTTTCCCGACGTTTTTTATAACACAACATTTTTGTTGGGGAAAATGAGTATGGTAAAACCGTCACTCAAAGATTTTTTTCTTTTGAGGCACTACGTGATCATTTTGGAGCAAAATATTTTGAGGGCTTTAATATTACACCATATCACAAACACTGATTATGATAACACGTAGGGCCATGCATCTCAAATTTGTAAAACTGGAAACCTTGTTTAAACAATGCCTTTAAGGTTATTTTTGGTATCGCTAACTTTATGAAAAGGACATACCAAGAAGTTTTTTCATATTGGGATGAAATAAATGCGAAAAGGACAAGTCGATAGGGTCACATTTGCACGAAATCGCACTTAAGCGATTGGACACAGAAGATATCATTCGCATGCGATATATAATTAAATGTAAATAAATGTGATATACATGGATATACAATGAAGTTCATTTCTATTTGAGTAATGCTCAGCGGCATAGAATACTACAGTTCGACATTTGGCAAGAGATGGGAATTGAAAACAAACAGTTCCAAATACATGTACAATCCTTGTGAAGCGGAATAAATATTACTATCAATGTGCAAAGCGATATCAAATTAATTTAGTTCAAGTAATTGTTTGAGTATACTAAAAATTCGTCGCCCTCTGAACCCTAGAGTGCTATAGAAATAGGTAATTTCATTGGTTATTCCAATCTTTTCCAAATACAAATGCATGACCTTCAGAGTGTATTTCATGATTGTTACATGCTTCAAAGTTTACAGCTGATTACAGGTGATTATCCTATAAGTCACCATCTCTTCATGAACACAATTTCAACTCTGTCGTGATTAATGTAATTAATACAAGATAATAATTGAATACTGGTTAATGAGAACATTACACTGTGAACAGGTTGGGCAATAATTTCCAACACTTTGCCCAACGTCGTGCTAATAGTCAACCCAACCATCTATTGGGCAATATTTTGCACAGTGGCATTGGTAAACGTAAGTACCCTACTCCACAGTTGCATAATCGTTTCGTATTTTCCCCATCAGCTGATCAAGATTTTCACAAGTGGGCTACCGTAGTCGGGCAGTTAAAGGGTCATATCTTTGCCCAAATTTTGGTCAAAATACGAAACAATTACGCACGTGTGAAGTAGGGCACTTACGTTTACTAATACCATTGGGCAAAATAGTGCCCAATAGATGGTTGGGTTGACTATTGGCACAACGTTAGGCAAAGTGTTGGACAAATATTGCCCAACCTTTTTACAGTGAACAAGATTCTTTAGATGGTGCTACTGCTATCATTGTCGCCTTCTTCATTGGTATACGAGAAATGAGCATACAAGGTCATTCCCAGCGAGCTTGCTACTACGCCAAGGGCTCCAACGATTGTCAAAACATTCGGTGATAAACCAAAGAAAAGGAAGTCAAACGCAAATGTTATAAAAACGTCGCTCGCGCGTATGACTGCAACGTAAGCCGCCTTGTCTGTTTGCAATGCAACGGTCACCATCATCCATTCAGAATAGCTCAGGATACACACACAAAGAACCAGAAGACGGTCAGCTCCACATTGAGGGTTGGACCACTCGTTGAAGGCGCTTGTCATGATTGGTGAAACCACTACGCCGACGCATCCGAAGACTAAAATCACGACCTGTGCGTGGATTTTGGCTTTACCGAGCAGCCGGAGAAGGATGAGAGAGAACGCTATGGAGTTTGAAGCACACAAAGCAACTACGGCTCCGATCGGAGAGACACCGCCGCTTTCGCTACGACCGAAAATGAAAGATGGCTGTACCACTAGCAAGACAGCGATAATGGTGGTCATGGAGAAGCATACCGTTGGTACGTTACATCGTTCTTTGAGACATAAACAGGCGAAAAAGGCTGTGAACAGAGGCGAGCTGTAGGTGATGGCCTTAGCCGTGGAGATGTCAAGTAATTGGTAGGAGTAAAAGAAAAAAGTTGTGCTTGCTGTCCCCACAAGCCCACGTAACGCCAAGATCGCCCAGATCTTCACGGGCATATGTAAGGAGATCTTATGCCATACCAACACTGGCATGGTCATCAGGATGAAAAACCCAGATCGGGAAGCTACAATCTGGTTGACGGATACGCGACCTGCGAGGAGTTTCAACAGCAGAGATGTCAGCGAAGCCGCCAATGCAGAGAGAAGTGCCCAGATGAGTCCTTTGTGTCTTATAATGGTTGAACATGTCCGCGAGCACATGCGCTTCAGGGTACCTTCCTCGATGTCTTCAGCCTCAGCAACACGACGTGTCCGTGAAGATTGAAGTAACGGCTCTGCTGTGGGCATTTGCTCTTCCTCTGGCCCATTACCTGTGGAACACTGGCCTTCCATGTCAGCCTTTTCCTTGACGTCCATGCTCGTCATGATTGTTTAAGAGAAGGCAATGTGGCGCAATCGGATCGTCGTCTGACTGTGTATACGCGTGGGTTTGAACACCGCACTGAGGATACGAAACAAAACTAAGTGTTGCCGCGTTGGGTGTAAGTGTGTCCATCCACTCTGTTCTCGATGTAGGCTCGGGTTCAGGAGAAACACTCCGTTCCTCGGATAGACCGTTAAGTGACTCGCAAAGAGTAAGGTGTAAAACCAGGACTATTGTGCCTGCAATCTAGAAGTCATGCACATCTTTGGAAACGGCTTCACAGCCCTTTGAAGACGACACGAAGAAGAAGAAGAATGTAAAGTTATAAGTCCATCATGGCAGCGTGCGAGTCCGTTTCGTCCTTGTGTTCTTTCCAACCTACATTGCCCTGCATGAAAAAAAAAAAAACATAAAGAACGATATCACTATCCTATCTTATTCTAATTTGTAGACAGAAGAAACTAATCCCCTCCACCCCCAAGATTCAATGTCAGTCGGTTTGCCGTTAACTGCACACTATGGCATAACTACAAGGGGTGGGGGGGGGGGGGGAGTACCCCCAATCGAATTTTGAATAACTAAAACGTTAGACAGACATAGCACAAAAGAGAGAGATAGAGGAGAAGATGGAAGATGTCGGGGCTTTCTCCCGCATCCACCCCATCACCCGCAGCCTTGTAAATTCGTATTCCAATTTGTGCAAATAATTATTACAATGCCGTATTAAAAACATGATTTCTACGAGATTTACAATGGGGTTATGAAAATTGCCTTTTAATGGATTTTCCAAAACCTTTGCAGTCGTGTGAACTAGTAATAAGCAACAAAATGTTATTACCGCAAAGTTATAACACTTGTTGATGATAACAGAGGATTGTAGTGAAATAGTTCCCACCGTTTCTGTTGAACTATGATACTTAGGAATAGGATGTACGTGTTCAGGATACTCATTCCATTTCAATACGCCCATTATTTGTGAACTTATCAATTACAGGAAACATCGCTATGTTAATGTATACTAATACCCCACTCACACTAACAAGACAAAACGCAGGACCGAAACCAGGGTTACCTTTCTTACGATTTTTTTATTTATAAAAAAAAGTGTCACATTTGTTTAAATTGCATGTTTGCTCACATCCGATCAAACGCAACAATTCAGTATAACAATTATTTTTACTTGTTATTGATAACTAGGTTCGTGAAACAGGGCCCAGATCGACACCAGATCGACTACAGACTGAACAAAAATTTACATTACCTCCTTTGGCCAAAAATTGGTCAAGTTGGAGTCGGTTTGGCGGTGTGAATGAAGGATGAGCAGGGATAATAAAGACTACAATTAAAGAACCACCCTTTCACGTTTTTTTTAAATTCAAACCAACTCTCTGAATGACCGAAACGAACAAGATTTGAGGGAGAAAAAAGAAGAAGATTGAAGTACATCAGTGTCCCCTTCTCGCATTACATTTACTAAATCTAAGATTTGGTGTTATATCTTTATCAGGTTCTCATCATTTTATTCATTTGTAATTCCGATTTCCCAATGCTTTATTTACGATTGCTACATAAATTGTCATGATTTTAAGATATTGATTAACCTTTAACAGCTGCAACTACGATAATGACAACGGCTACAAGTATTTTCACTACTTCTACTATTACTACTTGTTCTACTCTTTTTAATACTTTTTTAAACTACTAATTGATATACTAGTACTCTTCCTCCTCCTCCTCCTACTAATGCTATTATTATTAATACAACTACTACGACGGCTACTACTACTACTACTACTACTACTGCTACTGCTACTATATTCTACTATGACTATTTTTATACTACTACTACCACCACTACAACTACTACTACTACTACTACTACAACTACTACTACTCGTAGTAGTAGTAGTAGTAGAAGTGGTGTCATTTCACTTTTACTACTACTATACTAGTACTCTTCCTCCTCTTCTGACTACTATTACTGTATTTTTCTAGCACTATTACTAGTACTACTAATGCACTGTAATACTACTAGGCCTACTTCTACTACTTCTACTACTACTACTACTGCTACTACAGTACTACTACTGCTATTATTACTATTACTACTGCTGCTGTTGCTGATGCAGCTACTACATTCTACTATTACTATTTCTACTATTACTATACAGTATACTTGTAGGCCTATACTCTTCCTACTCCTCCTCTGACTACTACTACTAAGAAATACAACTACTATTACTTCTTCTACTTACTACTACTATATAGTAGTCTACTGCTGCTACTCTACTTACTACTATTACTAATACCACTGCCACTACTACTACTTCTACTACTATATCATTATTACTTCTTCTACTACTACTATTATTACTTCTTATACTGCTATACTCCTTTACTTCCATTATATTTGTACTCTTCCTCCTCGTTCTTTACTTCCTTTCCCTACAATGTAAAAAAGAATTTGTTTATTGGTAATTTTTACGTATTTTTTCCATGTAGAATTTACTTGAAAACATTAGTTTTGCCACTTACGCACTAAATTTAAGTCTTGCTAACTCAAACTATTTAAATATTTAAGTAAAATATTTAAGTAAAATCAAATACATAAGAACTTTAAGTAATTTCAGCTTGTATTAATTTAGTAATTTTAACTCAAAATCAGAAATTATACGTATTACTCAAACAATTTATGTTGATTATTCTTATCTTTTTAAAGTAAGGACCGATGCAGTGCGTAATAGAAATATTTACATAATTTATGAATATTCATTAAGACCAAATTAAACTCCTTTTTTCAATAAAACAATTCTTTTTTGTAGTTGAATGAAAATTTAAGGACTTTAAAACATTTACTAATTCATTTAACATGGCTAAGCAAAGACAAAACAATTTTTAATTGTTACCCAGTTCAAAACAAATAAAAACTTGATATTTCAGGAAATTGTCAACCAATTTTCCTTTTAAGATGCTACGATCAAGTATATATAAAAATTGGAGCCTTTCAATATGTGTCGAATTGAAGCGTATGTAATAGTTTGTGATGGTGGTAGATACGGTATATATATATATATACGATTAAATTTTAAATAGAAGTAGTGAATGATTAGTGGATGTTACTTGTTAGATTAGATGGGTACCAAATCGTGCAATATGTAATCCTATCATAGCTTTTTTTTAATTATCTAAAATGAGTACAATACTTAAAAAAAAAACAGAAAATGCAATAAATTTTCTGTTTTTTTTATATTATTTATGGAAACTGCCCCCTACCCTAGCCCCCGCTGCGTACAGTCATGGTTCAGTGACAAAGCAATGGCCTCGTAACTGTGAGGCCCCAGGATCAAAACCGTGTAGATGTGCTATATTAGTGCCCTTTTGTGGGGCATTAGTCCTCATTACTGTCATTTATGACTTGAGAGCGTAGGTCCCCTAGTTAATAAGCATAGTAGCATACACATGCTTTAGCAGTACCGCAAAACACACATTGGCAAATTATTATTCAATAAAATCTGAGAATGTATACTATTATCTAGATCTATTATTTTTAAATTATTTTAAAAATAATTCCATAAATTGGAATATTAAAAAAATATTCCACCTTTATGAGCGACAGTGTAATACTATGACTAATACTACCATTACTATATTATATACAATTAATACATTAATCAGGAGTATACAACATTGAAGTATTATACAGATATATAAACGTACTATATACTAGCATAGTAGCATTGGGCGTTGAAATTACATGTAATGTGTATCACAAGTCATGTTTTCTGTACATAACCCCGAGATTTGTTTGTCTTCTTACCCTCAGCCTAGATGTTCTGCTCCACTGAATCGAAGATGGAGACGTACTCGATCCATTATAACTTTCTCTCCTTCTCCGTATAATTCCGGCCTTCCCGCGCTATCTCTTTCTCTCTCTTTCTCTCTCACTCTCGTAGGAATAACACACGCAATGGTACGGCTCTCTGAACGGACAGAAACTAGGGATGATGAAACCGTCCCAAGTAACATCAACACATCCTTCGCTATCTGATCGTCGCATACAATCATGAGCATTTACATGTACACACTGCATGTACTAATAATCCACAGTAGAAGTATTATCCCACGTTCGATTCCCGAGCATCTCATTAACTCTCCTTTTTTTTTCTCTCTCAACAGAAGCATCGGTCGAAGATCTTTAATTTTGCAGGAATATATAGGCGGAGATCGTTTTTGCACACACTTTCTCGAAGAATGACGTTCTACGCGTATAACATGTCTCCTAGCTGTGAATATTTTTAGCTCGTCCAGTTATATATTTGAGACGGTAAACAGATAGTGACCTCGCAGACAACGCAAGGAGCTTTTAGTAAACACCTTATCGTGTTCACCGTGGACGGGCCTTGGCCGGTCAATGGACACAAATCTTGTTCAGCTTACGCGGTATCGTTAGCACGTACGCCAGTCTCTGTAGTGTAGAGTTCAGTGGTTGCTGTGCGTGCATAGCACGTATCCAGTGCACGAATATCGCAGAGAGGGTAGTCTGCAGAAACAGACTCTAGTTTAACACTTTAGTCTCGGGCATTGTCAGGAGCAGCTATATAGCTTATGGCACGGCTATGGCGCTCATTAGACCATATGCACTCTAAATAGTCTCATAGTTCAGACTTCAGTCACTCTGCTACGCATTACCACTGACGAAGGGGGTTTTGTCGATACAGAAAGGCTCCCCTTTTCCGTGTTGTATTTGTCTCCGTTTTAGAATTTAATATATTCAAAGCACGAATGAAAATAGAAGACGAAAGACTATAATGTCTGCCAGTGACAATGTAAAGATCTTTGTGACAAGCTCGTTGTCTGCAATATGAAGTATCAAAGAATAGATCTCACAATTAAAGATTGAGATCGAGAGATATGACATCGAGGTCATTATATTTTGATTTTTTCAAACTAAAAATATTGAATCTGTAATCTTCTCCATTGGGTTCTGAACGCGTGAACATCATCTTTAAACCAAAAAAGTGTAATTAACTGAAGACTAGTTATTGGAATCACTATTCAGTTGTGTTATGTTTGTCAAATTATTCTTGTTCATTGTTCTATCCAGCCATGTTTGCATCGAAGCAAAACGGAGAAATATGCCAACATATTTCGACACGTATGAATGTTTAAGTCCTTCAGTTTCCTTTGTTCCGCTAACTTTCTTTAGAGCGCCTATCACGCACTCTCCAGATTTCTTTAGTGTAAAATTTGTATACGTGCCCCCGGGCGTGACGAACATAACAACTCATTTCAAACAAAGTATTTTTTGAATTTTTTTTCTTTCGAAATGCTGTCATTTTTTTTAGTGAAGATTTTAATGCCTTTTGCCTCAAAAAACTTATACAG